TAAGTCTATAGTTTCATACAAATTAGAAACTCAAATTACAGATATTGACAAGTCAGAATATAAAATAAGAAGGTCTTATCTTTTCTATTTGCTAAGATATTGCTCGTAATAAATCAAACAAACACAGTGGCACCCCACCCACCTCTTTCCATTTTTGGAAATGCTCCATTATATAAACTTACTTCTATATATGACATAAATAACCAATCAGAAGGTCAGAATGTCCCAGTAGTGGTTTTCTATGCCTTTCTAACGTACCTAGCGTCATTTCTTTCTTTTCAATCAAGATTTCAATGAGGTAGGTTGTGTCTTTAGTCTGCTCGAAAATTTCATCTTAATTACTAAGCTTGATAAATTATAGTGGAATTCTATGGTTTTGATATAGTAATTTATGATTTTTTAGTTATTCAAATGTATATAAAAAACCTAAAAAAAAATTTGTTTCATATCCTCTATGTGCAAAATTTTTAAAGGCTTAGCAACCTACGTCAAGCAGCAACCAAAGGTCATAACTAGAAGAGATAATTGTTTGCTTTACTTCTTTATTTACTGTTCTATGTTTTAGGAAAAATAACTAAGTACTTATTTCAAAATAGCAATAATCTATATACATATATAATGTATAATAATTGAAATGTGACTGTATTTTACAAAATACTAAAACACAGCTAAGACAAGTTAATTTGTACAGACCAAAGGTCACCTTTATGTTATTTGATACAGTAACATGAGTGCACGTGAGCTGCATCATTGTAACTTCTGTATTGTTAGCGAGGCACGGGAGAAAGGTCAATATAAAAAAAATTATAAATTTATATAAATGAATAATGTTATGAGATTTAAGTTATTTTGTCTAAACACTTATGTTTTTGTGTTATAATTTGTGTTCATTCTAGAATGAAAGATGCATAATTTATGTTTATTTCATTATTTTTATGGTGGTTGCGAGATCAGTCAAATTTATCGAACCCGCACAGAAATTAATTACTGAAAATAACAGATAAAATATAATGTTTTTTCTTAAGAAATGTCTTGTAACTATTTGGACATTAGAAAGATTTTGCATGTGAAATTTAAAAATTTTCTAAATCATACAAATATTTTTAATGTTCAGAAGAAAACTACTTGGCATGAGAGAAACATTGCTTTAAAAACCTTAAGACTTAATTAAAAAATTAGATATTGTATGTATAAACACATTGTAATGTTTTCTGATAAACCGCCAAATTTCGTTAACATTCGCTTACGAATTTAAAAGTTATAGCATGAAAACTATAACAAGCACAAAATACTTACGAGGTCGATCCCATGGACCGAGCCCGGATTGAAAGAGTTAAAGTGAAAAGGAATAGTTTGTCATTAGAAGTGAACTGTTTATATTGCATTGTTTTTGATCACTAACATCTAATTATTAAATAGTAACTTTTTTTTTAATTGGATGCTAATTATTTAAATTTTTTCATCGTATGTTTTGGCTACTAATTTGCTGCCATCTTCAGGGTAGTTCTGAGAAGGAAGGCTTTCAGTGTTGGAAGTGACAAGAATTTGAATCTTTGTCTGTGTGTATTTAATGCTTTATCCATTCAACAAGAGTCCACCCCTTTAAAACGTTAATCATCTAACTATTTGAATGTTTTCAAGAGGGATATATAGGTTTTACTGAATTCTGTGTGTTTCACCAGTTAGATGGGTGTAAAAGTCTTCTTTTACCTTTTTTTTTCTTGTGTGATTCATATCCTGTTATTTCAGCATCATTCCAGTTTATTGTATGATCTTAGCTGAAATGATGGACTATTTTAAGTGGATTCTTATTACTAAATCTTTTGTGGTATTTTATGGTTTTTAGGTAGTTTGGTATGTAGTAACTGTGAAAGTAATGTGTTATGGTTTCTGAATACTGTTCTGAGTTTGTTGCTTACATATTCTCTGTATATGTTTAGAGAAACCTCTGACATAGGGGATTATGGCTATTTGTCTGTAATTTCTTTCTTCTCTGCATTTATCTTAATTTCTTCTTTATCAAGTTTTCCAGATATTTGTTGCTAAGGGGGTTTGTAATAATGTATTTTTTTTTCCATCTTCTTGGTTTCTTCAATGTTAGATCTTGTTAATTCTTGAAACTGGGAAGTCTGTAATTCCTGTCTTTACATTGTTGGGGTGGTTTGAATTATTATTGAGGTATTGACCTGTGTCTGTGGATTTCCTGTAAACACCTAAGGTATACAAGTTATGTGTATCGGCAGTCATCATGTTAGGGAATAGGAGTTTATCTATTTCCATTGTGAATTATATTTCAAGATGTTTATTCATATGGTTCATGAATCCTTGAATCTTATCTGTCTTATGTGGCCATATTATGAATGTATCATCAACATATTTAATCTAAATTTTGGGGCATAGAATGATTGTTTTGAGAGTGTTAACTTCTAAATATTCCATGAATAGCTTATGGAGTACTGTGATATGGGTGAGCCCATAGTTATGTGATCTTGTTAGTGGTAGTATTTATCTTCAAGTTGGAAGTAGGAATTGTTAATACAGATGGTTATGATTTTTATTATTATGGAAGATTGTTGGTTAGAAACATTCTTTATGATTTCTATCATTTTCAGGCTTTTGGCATAGTGTTTGTAGTGGGTCAGGGATTGGTACACAAGTTAGAAGGTTGGCAACATCATAGCTGATCATTATGTCTTGTTTGGTTATTGTGGCAGTTTGGAGTTGGATGAGGTATTCCTGTTTGTTAATGCTTAGAGTGCCATTTCGTTTGCCGACATAATTATTATGGTGTTATTCTTCAAATTTCTGGTGTTAGTTTTCTCATATAGGATGATATTATAGTAGGGTTAACATTTCACGGTTTTCTAGACCATTGGCTTCATTTTTATTCTGAATTCACTTCCTTCTCTTCTGGTAGGCTGTAAATTGTGGATTTTTTTAATGTAGCTATATTTTTAATGTGACTTAAATGATTGTATAGGTTAGTAACCATTACAATGATTGATATTCAGTTGCCACAACCTTACTGTAACTACATATTTTCTTACATGATTACTTTAAGTTAATTGTATTTCTTAGCTTATGAAAGTAGTTAGCATAGTATATTTGTAATTTAAATATTCTTTCATTACTGTGTTTCTTAATTAATTTGAGCTGAGTGTGGCCTAGTGGTTAGCATGTAGGACTGATAATACACATGCCCATGATTCATGTCCTGTTACTGGAAAATTACAAAATATAAGACTCATAGACAAATCCTACTATTCAATTAGAGGACCCCACTAGTTGACACTGAGGCTATTAACTATGAGCTTCCCTCTAGTTTGTTACTTCCAAATTAGAAACATCTAGAACAGAGAGCCGTTGTGTTGCTTTTCATAAATATCTCATAAAAACAAACTAACTTACTTCAGTTATCATTGTACTTTCTAAATAGGCTCAGTTTGATGCTGAACAAAATGATGGTGACACATCAGACTCTTTGGGTGTTATTGACAGTGACCTAGAGAGAGTTCCACCAGTGTGGGATCTCATGGATATGCTGGCAACAACCTCAACATCTAGTGAAGGATCTATCTCATCATTGTCTCAGACACAAAGGGGATCAACGAGTCGAAGATTCTCCACCAGGTCATCTCGTGAAGCTGCCCGAAGCCATAGTAGAAGATCTTCAAGAACTAGAGTCCGAGGTTCAAGAAGGCACTACAGGCGCTGGACATCTGTAAGTTAATTAGAACTGTGAAATTTTTCCTTTCTTTCTTACTTGTTTATCTACACTCACTGGGACAGGTTTTGTAAGTTAACCTGGTGCTTTAAAAAGAAGTTTTAGAATAATTTTGCTCATGATATTAGGAAAACACATTCAAAAATCAATTAAAGACAAATATAAGAAACCCTGTAACCTAAGGACTTTCAAAATAATAATAATTTCCAATATCAGTAAGCTACGTATGTAGAGTGAAACTCAAAATTAACCTGACTATAAATTTAGCTAATTAAACATACTTATATTTTTTATTAAAATTAGAATGCATTTTTCCATCAGTTAAGTACTCTTGGTATAAATAATATTTTCAGTCATGACCCTAATAATATCTCATAAGGTTCGGCCAGCTTAGAAGATATAGGTAACTTTTAACTGTATATAAAAGTATAATAATAAACAATAAATCAAAATAAAATGTAATAGCGTTATATATACCAACTAATAGAACCAATACTTTTAATGAAAGTAACTATAAATAAATAATATAGTGTAACTTACTTAGGGAATATATAAACACTAGCTGTTGGTTTGAACAAATGGCACAGAAGTAAATGTCTTTAGAAATTGTATCCTTGCTCTCCACTTAATAATTTCTGACCAAAGAGACTCATTAAGCTACTCCTTCCGTATAACATCAGAGGCAAGTCACATCCAAAACAGTTTAAGATATATAATACAATTTAAACAGTGTTAAGTTAGTAGCAGTAATTTTCCATTAGTTAGGTAAGTTAAAACTTTGGTATGCTTTTGCAAGGCACATAGGGCTGGACTTTCAAACTCTGGTTTTAAGTGGCACAAGTAGAAAAGAACGGTCACCCATTCCCTGAACAAAATGCCAGTTTATTGCAGGTTAACCCCAGTTTACAGTAGGTACCCAACATACTGGGTAGGCTGGAATAAATGGGGTAAAGTTTCTTGCTCAAGGACACAAAAGAATGATGCAGGCCAGGCTCAAACTTACAATCATCCAACTATGAGTCTAAAGTGCAAAGTCACTGAGCTATGCTGTCCCAAAGTTTCCTTTAATTTAACCAATTATGATAATGTTTATGAGGATATAAAATAATGAATAAAAAATAAAATAATACTTGAATTGACCGTGATAATATAACAATGTTGTATGGACTAGGAATACATAATATGTAGTGTGTACAAGGTAGACCTTTCTTCGTCTGGGGTAGTAATTCTACTTATATCTTAAGCAATAATCTACCAAAGAGTAATTTCCAGAAATTAATTAAGAAAAAACTGTTTAGTGTTTTTCTTGTTTTACTGGTAACAATTTTGAGCAAAACAGGTAATAATGTTTGAAGATACAGAAGTCTTTATCACCAGGAAAAATGTGGTTATTTTTTAATCTGCACACTGGATGTTTAGACTCTTTAATATTAGACAAAATGTTTAGAGAAGTGTGTGTGTTGTTAGGTAACTTTGAGAATATGAGAAACCTTGATGTAAAGTAGGTTTCATACAAATGTATTTAAAAAAAAAAATTGTTCATGCAATACTACATGTTGTTAAATGTTGTAGTGTGACTTGTTTACTTTAAACCACTGAAATAGAAATGTATGTTAATGAAAACAATGTTCCAAATGAGAAAACAAGTGTGTGGACAGTTGAAGAGAATGTATATGATAATTGTTCAAACTGGATAACAAAGTCATGTCATAAATAACCAATAATTCAGTTTCAAACAATATCAACTCTCATCAGTCTATCTAGTTCAAGATGGAGATTGTTTCCTAATATCACTGTAAATGCTTTAAGGTTTTGATGTTGATTTGATGTAGTCTTATTGCACATCTTTATATATTTTCATAGCAGAAAGTGTTAGATCTAGCACTGGATGTTATTTCATACTCCAGGAAGGGAGGGGGCAGAGGAGAGAAAATTGTGGTGGTTGAGTGGTGCCTGGGTTATTGCAGCTCCAAGATAGGAACAAATGTCACCATATAAGTAAACACAAGGTACAAAATGTCATTAATGATGTACTTCAGAAGATAGGTATTACAAGATGCCACATGGATTCTATCAAGAGGTACACAGCTCAAACTTCATACCAATACACACACACACACACACACACACACACACACACACACACACACACACACTTAGAAATGCACATTCGGGAGGTCCTTATTTGCAGATAGAATTTCAGGTTCAAGATTCTTAACCCCTAATTTTGTTCCAATGTACAAAAAAATACATTAAATCTCAAACGTCATCAGTTGTGGACAATATTTTAGAAGTTGCTCAATAAGATTGAAGTTATAGACTGCAGTGGTCTGGTACCGTATGTACTATGTAATATAAAAACATATTTGTTATGTATTATAACTGATTCATTTAAATTATATTATTATTTTATTGCATGCCCAGTAATATAATTACATAATTATATGATTTTGGTGTGCTTAGTCAGTTTTGCATTATTGTTTCCTTTTTGCTATTAGGAAAGCATCTTCTGTGATCTTAAACAACTTGATTGAGGAATTGTTTCTGTTGTTCTTTCTTTATTATGATGGCATTATACTCCTCATTGAGAACCACGCACCTTTCAGCATTATCATTTACCACATTCAAGTGTTCAACTGTCTGTAGTGCATTCCTGCAGTCTTCTCTGAGCTTCCATGACTCAGAGTCATAGTCCAGAAATCCAGATGGAATTTTGAGGCACCTAAAGAAATCTGTTGTATACTTTGTGACAAAATCTTCAATTGACATTTTCTCAGACTTCCTGATATTCATTTGAATGTGCTTTGGAGGTTCATCCATGCTTTCCTTCTGATTTAGTGCCTTTACCATTGCTTGTTTTGTTTCTTTTATGACTTTAGTTTTTAAACTATATGGTATTATTTGTAATGTTCCATCTGAAGTTCTGTAATAATTGATTTTTCTGCATAATACGTCTGTGTCCAATATGTATTCTGTATTTTCTCCCTGTAATACTCTGTTTCGTAATGTCTTTACTAATTCATCTTTCTTCTGTTTGTTAATCACATGTTCTACAGTCCAAATTACTTCAAAGTTATCCTCACTTTTAAAATTTACCTCCTTTATTTTGTTAATGGCTTGTTTTTCCTTGTTTTTTTTTATTTCAACTTTAATTCTACTTAAGGTGTCAACATTAGAATACTTCCTACCTGGTCTATGTATGACTTCAAAATCATAGTGCAATAATAATGACCATCTTGTTAATCTAGACAGTGGATATTTTAATGTCATTAGTCATCTAAAGGATGCATAATCTGTGGTTATGGTAAATTGATACCATAAAGGTAACATCAGAAGTTTTAATTCTGTGCAGTACGGCTAAGCATTCTTGCTCATTCACTGAATAATTTATTTCAGCTTTTCCTAACTGTCTACTCTGATAGGCTACAGGGCATTCTTTTCCATTTTCATCTAAATATGATAATACTGCACCTATGCTTAGGATAAACTCTTTACTGAAATCTGGATAACTCAAAATTGATGCTCTTAATAATAAGTCTCTTAGTTTCTTAAATGCCTCCTGTCTTTTGTCTGTCTACTTGAAAACTATACCTTTTTTTAGTGAGCTCAGTTAATGGCCTTGCTAGCAATGCAAAATGTGGGATAATTCTTCTGTAAAATCCTACAAATCTTAGATATGCACAAATATCTTTTGCTGTTTTTGGTACTGGATAATTTTTATATCCTTCTAACTTTTTAGGGTTAGGCTTTACACCATCTGCGGTTACTACGTGATTTAAGTAATCTACTTCTTTTATTAAGAATTGCCACTGTCTTGGCTTAAGCTTTAGATTTGCTCTCCACAATCTATCAAATACATGTCTTAACTTTTCTAAATGTTCTTCAAAAATTGCTGCAAACACTGTGAGGTCATCTGAATAGTAAAAGCATTCCGAATCCTGCAATTTGAACAATATGGCATCCATTAAACTTTGAAATGTTGAAAGGGCATTCTTTTAAACTTGTTTTTGCCTAAAGGTAACACAGAGCCAGTTTTAGCTTTATCTTCTTTCTCAATTTCTACCTACCAATACCCACTTTGTAAGTCAAAAAAAAAATTACTTTTACCTAACTTATCTAAGGAGTAATGGTTAGATGTCTTAAATAGTAACAATGTTCAATTTTCTAAAGTCCACACAGAACCTCAGATCACCACCCTTTTTTAGGAACTAATAATAACTGGAGATGCATATGGCCTACTACTGTCCTCTATTACTCTTTGTTCAAGTATCTCTTTTATACATTCCTTTAATTCTACCTGTGCCTGTCTGGCATTCTATAGGGTCTTTGTGCTAGGCTTACTGTCAATTAACACTATCCTATGTTTAACCTTTTTTGTACCAGCATTAGGATTGCCTTTTCCTACAAATATATCTCTGTATTCCTTGAATAACTTTACTATCTCTTGTTTATATTTACTTTCTACATCTAAGATGGAATCCCAATCTATCTTCTATTGTTGTGCCTGTTTCTTCTTAACTTCCACATTATGCTGTCCTACTGCAGCTGTTTTCTCCCTACTAGCTTTAAACAGTACTATATGTTTAGGCAGTATTACATTTTCTTCATTTATATTCAACACTTTTATCGGCATTGTGTCTTTCTCGGATACCTTACTAATACAAGCAGCTGTATAAACTCTTGCTTCTTCTATTTTTGTAGGCTCAATTAAAAACTTCATTTTCTTAAAATCATCTACTTTAGCTTCAACAATTAATTGACTTCTTATATGCACTTCAGTTCTTTAACTAATCTCATATGTACTTTTCCTGTCAAACTCTCCTATTGAGATGCTCTCTACTTATGTTAGACATAAGCATTAAGTGTAGTGTCATCTGAGGGGTTTGAATTATTATTTCTCTATTTTAAAGTTTCTTTTTCTATCTTATCTTGCCTTACTCTATTTCCACTTACCTTATTCGTGGTTTTCTCTGTACTACTAACATATTTGCTAATCTTAGGGCTTTTCTCTAACTGGATTTCTCTTTGAACTTTTCATATTCCTACTATGCTGACTTTGTCATGTATCACTACAATTATGAGCATCAGTGCATTTTTATTTTGACTGTTGATCTTTAGCCTTGTTAATGCTAGCATTCTGTGTCTGACTATTAATTTTAGTCAGTGAGAATGTATCCTCTGCCCCAACTTTCACACATTATGAACCTCTACAGTATATGAAACAGAGAGGACAAACAACCATATCAAACATTGAATTATAAAATCACAACATGCTGGTAAAGCTCAAACTATTTAAAATCCAGAATCATTGGTTTCAAACATACAGCTGGCTGAACAAAAGGAAAGAGCTGATGGTCCTGTTCTCCTGTGCATTCTGTGCATATCTGCCAGAGAAAAGCTAGTAAAAATCTGATTTGCTTACTGGATGGGCAGTTGGATGTTATAGAAATCACAATGGTATTACAGCTGTAAATATCCTGAAATTTTCCTTTTTTTTCTCCTGGAAATTACTGCATAATTTTCATTTGGAAGCATAGGAATCCTGAGTTGATAAAGATAAAGTAAAAAAGATAATACCAAGAATAAACAAGAAAACAATTAGACATATTGCCATACCTCCTGTATTAAAGTTCTCTGAAACATATAGAGGATACATAAATGACAAAATGTCAGAAAAGTATTCAGAAACCACAATACACACCAAACCAGCCAAAGACTGGTCAGAAAATAGAAACACCATTTACAACATCTGTTTTGAATGTAGGTTCCAATACATTGGAGAAATATATAGACTAACAACAGCTAGAAATTCAGCAGCGTATAGACATACAAAACTCGGTAATACTGATTTGTCTACAATAGCTCCTCATACCTACAGAGAATACAATATGATAAAATAATAATAAAATGTAAACCACACACAAGAAAAAATAATGAGAAAAGAATCCTTCTACATCCATCTAACATGTAATATATTTGGACAGCCTAGCATAGAAATCAGCAAAACCTGGATACTCTTTTTGAAAACATTCAAATAGTCAAGTTCTAATGGAATAAATCCCATTTGAGTGGATAATGCACCAGGCTTTCAAGAAAGATGATCCACGATTGAATCCTGGATACTACCAACACAGAAAATAGTCCTTCTCAGGACTTCCCTGAATCCAGCGGAAAAGTTGATAGTGACTGCATGAGGCAGTAACTGATCATATTGTCCATGCTATACCCAAAACCTTGAAAAAGTTTCTACAGTATCCTTGTTCATAGTGGACACCTCACTGCCACAAAGCATGGAGGGCTCATAACTGAGCTTTGGATATCTTCCACAACCATCCCACTCTTACCATCTGCATAGTCTGTTAGAGGGTCCATGCTTTTGCCTGACAGATCATATGAAAAAGCTATAAAAAATTTTGGATTAAGTTCACTTCCAGCATATCTATCACCACCAGTATCAAGGTTGTCTGGGACAAGATTCTAAAGGAAGAATGGGAAGTGTATGCATCACCCCATTTTGATTAACCCTTTGGTCAAGATGTAGCTGATGTACTGAGTATTGCAAACACTCTTGGAGAGTGTATTTTGTACCATTCAAGTATCTCCATCTGCTCCTCTGCTTTTTTGGCATCAAGATGTGAGACAAAAGAATCCCACCTTTTTTTTGGCCTGACTGTTTTCATAAAGTAAACAAAAGGCTAATCTGATGACCATTTGTTTGGCACAGATAGCCTGTATTGCTTTGTGCCAAGAAACTTTCAAACAACAGCAATGCATTAGATAACAAAACCCATACCATGAGCAACTGAGAATTGCAGGTTTGAGCAATGTCAACTCTCATAAACACAGGTTCATTGTGTGATATTACCATTAACCTAGTTGTAGTGATTAAGAGTTGACATTGCTTAGAACTATGATATTGTATGTTTTATTTTGCACCAAGAGATGAAGATATCTGAATAGTAAATTTAGTTGGAAAACTGAAAAGCCTCAAAATCTTGTGTAGACAGGTATTGTGTATGTGTACATAATAACCTCATTAGTAACTTTGGTTGTATGAATTTTAACATTAAACATGTTAAATCTTACTGAATACCAAAATTCATATATTAACTAACAGAGCATTATCAGCTCTCATCAGCCTAGTTGGTGATGGTATAACTGATTATACACTAGGAATCTATTTACTCTACAGACATTTCAATTGCAGAATTTCCAGTCTCATTGTTAGTACTAAAAATAAAGAACTTGGAGACTTATCAGTGATTCAGATGTACATATTTTAAACAACTGTGTAGGGCTCAAACAATGCTGAAATCAAATTCTAGAATCTGCTTTTATTGTTTAGCTGTGAGAGGCTCTATGTTTTTCATGAGGAATATATGTGTAAGATCTGTAGTAATTTTTGTAATAATTTGCTTTCACTCCCTCTTTTTTTTTCCAGCCACGGGGAATTGTTGATAGGTATCATCACCACCCAGCAATGATATATGCAGAGGTTATTATGGGACTTGGAGATGGACTGGCTGATAGCAATGATTATGAGGTGGAAAATATTTTTATCTACAACTTATTGATTACATATAGAGAATATTTATTTGAATTGATGAGAACAGTGTTGCATAGGTTTAGTTTTCTAACGTGTTGTTGGTTTTATAAATATGAAAATTGTACAGTTATATATAATAATTTCCGAAAGTGAGCAAATATTAAGTTTTTAACAATTTCATTTAAGAGCATTAAGTTTAACCCCCTTTTTTTGTTCATATATGACTCTAGGTGGTACAACATTTTTGTGTAAAATACTATTAGTATTTTTAGTTTCTAACTCACCTGTAGTTTTTGTGAGGTGAATTAGCATGTTCTGTACTGGGAGTTATGCATGTTTAGCTCTCTGTAGTGATGTAATATATTGCATGTGAGTTTCATAAAAATTGAAGTAAATGGAAGCACATGTATTTTTGGTTTAACTTCCACTTTATAGAAAATTTTGCACGCTTTTGTGTATGTGTGGATGGATTCTATGTTTGTTGAATCTAGGTCTTATTCTTTGTACAAAACAATCCTTAGATTTGAAAAGACAGTGGATATGATGCACTGGAACATGCATATTTTCTGTGAAACTGTAGACATGAAAATGTTTGTTAGCAAATGGCATAAAGTTTGATCAGGTAGTTCAAATGAGCACGAATTTAGTAAGCAGTATTATAACATTTGTACAAGTAATATTAATAAAAGCTAGCATAAAGCTGAATATGAATAAATTGAAATATAATGTAATAAAAGGTACCAGCCAGATTCCCTCTCTAATATTTTTATAGTGCTATACTAAATATCTAATGTTGTGGTACATGTGTCAGTCATCTTCAATTTTACTTAACGTATTATTCTTACCTAAAGATTGCAACATGAGAGCTATAAATAAAAGGAGTTTGGTTGTCCTTAGGGTCCTACTTTTATTATAGTATTAGCTGTATTGCATCAAGATACTTTGTTATTGACAGTAAAATGGTTTAGTCTTGATTAAATTATACAGCATAAGGTTTTCACATAGTAATTTATATGTTTGTCAAACAATATTGAAATCCTTTACATATGTGCAGTATTAAAAAAAAATAATGAAAACCATTAACTCTCTCAAGACAGGCTTGGACATTTTAACCTACCATGTGAACTTTTTGTACTCCTTTAAAGTCTCTATGGATTTAATACTTATAACTCTCAATATAGCATGTAAATCTTTATGAAATTTGGCAGTCTTTCAGTTAATATTACAAGTTTTTCACATTTTTTGTGTGTGACGTATTTTTAATAAAATAAAATAAAGATTTGTCCATGAATATATTGAGTATTTGTTTTGAATGGTCCATGTGCAAAGTAATTCTCATGTTAAAATTAAAAATACTTTTCCTCATCTCAAATTTCTTTTGTGTAATCCTGAAAACCTCCTAAATGCATTTCAAAAATTTTTTTTCAGTAAAACTTTAGAGTTTATCTGTTATTTTCTCTACCCTATCTCAAAACGGATTGGTCAATTCTACCGATCTCGTGAAAAAAATAAAAAATCTAAATAAACCTAAATTACCTTTTTTTCTTTCTAGAATGACTTCATATTGTAACATGGAACAACATTCATTTATCCTAAATAGCTCTAAATTCGTAAGATTAGACATCTATTTATAATTACATTTTATTGTTTGATTGCCCTTTGAACCATGTCTAACTACTATCCGTGCCATAAAAAGTTGTAAATCACTCGTAGAATGTGCAGGTCACATTATGCTATTGAATTACATTATCCACGAGCTGCTCATGTGCGTGATTCATGAACCATTTTAAGTATATTATTATTATTATTGCTTATTTTACCTAATCTAGTTGTAAATCAACTTAAAAAGATCCATATTTTTATATTTTGGTTACTTTTATAATAACAAATAAAGAATAAATATGAAAAACAAGAAATAAAGTACTTACCCAATCTTCAATGACAGTTAAGCCTTATTTTGTATAATACTTATAGTAATGCACTTAATTTTTATTTAATTGAATAATGCACCAAACAATATAGACTGATAACATGCAAAAAGTAGACAAATTCCCTTACTTTTAAAAATTTTCTTGGCTTTCTAACTATTTCGACAAGAGCCATTACAAAGTCGTCCCAGCTAGTCGTTAATTTTCTGAGGGAAACGATTTTGGTACTCTGAGTGAAGTTGACATTTCTCCGTTCAAAACACAATGTTGTACAATATATCATTTGATAGATGAAAACCTTGAATTCTATTGGTTATAGGTAATATATAATGCAATGTAAGAGAGAACTATTAATGAATTATGAAAGAGAGGGTGTGGCAGGAGGGGTCTGATTTTCTATTCGTTAGCTCTGTAACCAAGCAAAATTGAAGACTAAAAATTATGGTTTGTCTGAGCAATAACGATTTTACAGAGAGTAACTTACATTTAATTTCGTACTTTTTCGAGATTTGGTGGATAAAATAGGGATGATGACATGCTAAGAGAAAATGTGTCACTTGGGTCACACTAGTGGAAATTCAGGATTTTTTAAAATATTGCCTTCTAGAATTAAGAACTTAAAACTTGTATACTATTAAAATACAGATTATTAGCTAATATCTTATGCTCTTCTAATTGGTATAATATAAACAAAAAATAGTTTGATAGAATTTTGAATGTAAGACACTAAAACCTTGTGTCATGCGCAGTGA